TTTTCAATGGACATAAAATATTTAAAGTTAAATGTCAACTTAATACAAAAAAATTACAAAAAATATCTTTTTTCAAAATATTAATTTTTTAAAATGTTAATAACTTCTTAATTCTAGCGCAAACATAGTTCAAAAACTGATCATTCGATGTGTTTTTGAAGAGGATTGCAACGGACATAAAATATTTACAATTAAATGTCAACTTAATACAAAAAACCACAAAAAGTAACTTTTTCAGAATTTACATTTTTTAAAATGTTAATAACTTCCTAATTTTAGATCGAATAGAGTTAAAAAATAAATCGTTGCATTTATTTATCAAGCGCATTCTCAATGTAAATAAAATATTTAAAAATAAATATTAACTTAATACAAAAAATCCACAAAAAATAACCTTTTTTCAAAATTTCAATTTTTAAAAAATAAAAATGTTAATAACTTTATAATTTTAGCCCAAATGAAATCTACAATTTAAAAAAGTTTATTCTTTCAGATCCTATATATGAATTTGAGATATTTATAAAAATGTGATATTCACATATATTTCAAAACGTAAAAATATATTGTTGACTTGTTTATTTTTAAATATTTTCTTGCTGCATTGACTCGGGTAGATGGATAATAATTTTATACTTTTTATTTAATTCTTAATTTGAGGAGCAATTTTTCAAAAGTTGATAAATCCATTTTTTTTAATTGATATAAACACATATTTAAAATATTAAAATCTTTAGAAATCGATTTATCACTGTATTCAGTTTAAGAAAAAAAATTTATTACCAAAGAATTTTCAATTTAAAAAATATTTTGGCCTAACCTTGATGATTTAAATTTTTTTTAATTTTTTTATTCGAAAAAATCACCAAAACCGTTAAATTCCCTTATTACAATAGAATTTAATTACAAACAGAGCGTTTTAAATAGAAAAAAATATTTAAAAATGAATGATTTCTTACAATTTTTCTACATTAAAGTTAATTATTTAATGGTTAAGTGAGAATTGTCATTTGTTTAAATTTCTCGAAATGACAAAATTTGGATTTATCAGGTTTTGAAAACTTACTCCTTATATTTGTTTTATCCATTTTTCTAAATTATTTATTTATTTTAATACAGAATCAACAAAAATTTATTTCCTGCAAATAACTGATTGATTGTCTATTATCAAATAAAATATTGACTTGAATCAAATTGTTTTTTATTTAAATTAATTAAATATAGTATTTGCCTTAAATACTGAAATTGTTGGATTGAAATAAAATTTTAAAACTCATTTCTCTCTGTAGAAAGCAAAATCAATATAAGCAAAACGTATATCGATTCCCATAGGTTCCCTTGACAATGTTTTCTGTAAACTTAAAGAAGTTCAAATTAAAATTTCAAAACTCAATTCTCTTTGTAGTAAAAAAACAAAATCAATAAGGGTAACGTATAATTATATCGATTCCTTGAGGTTTCCTTGACAATTATTTGCGTAAACTTAAAAAAGTAAATTTACAAAATGAAATTATAAAAAACAAACTAAAAAATGGACAACCATACTTACTTATATGATTCTATTAGAAAATATGAAATTTAAGTTTGAAATAAACATTTATAATTAGTTATTTTACAGGATCCGATTAGAGTATAAAGTTTAAATTTTCACCAAATTTATTAGACATTTTTACTAAGAGAATCGTTTACCTTAATTATTACGTAAAACTTTTGTAGAATAACAAATTTACAATTTTTTTTTTTTTTTTTTTTTTTTTTTTTTTACTAATAATAGAAATTATATACGAATTACATTTTGGAATAGGAGATAATTAATTTTTCAAAATAAATTTAAATGGATAATTTAAAGTCTATTCAATTCAAACACTTCTGTATAATTATTATTCTGATGAGGAAAATTTTATTACTATAATTGTGAGAATCATGCGACATGCAATTGATCTATTAACGTAAATTTGTTCATCTAATTTCATAAGCCAAACCAAATTTTTGGTTGTTAAAAATTCTTTTAATTTATTTTTCGATTATATAATTATTATTTAATTTTTTAATGAAGTTCGTAATTGATATTTTTTATATTTTGTTAATGGTCAAAAATATACAAATTTTGGTGGTTTAAAATATTTTTCTCATTGAAATATAGAAATATAGAAATTTTGAGGGTTTAAAATATTTTTCTCATTGGCCATGGTTCATTACATTTTTGTCCATAGTTAAAATAATTTTATATAAATTTTAAGGTTTTATGGGGAGACTAAAACTACATTTTTAACTATATCAAGAAAATGATTTAAATCTCCCATAAAATTATTTTTTTCATAATTTCGAAAGAGGAAATCAATGGTCAGAAAATACAATCGTTCAAAAAATATTCTGACACTTTTTGGATTTTCATTTTTCTTAAAAATTAATATTTTTTAAACTCCATTCACAATTTTGTAGAAAATATATTTCTGTATTCGGAAAAAAAAATTGCCGAATGAAAAAAATAATTTTTATAATAATAAAGTCTTTAACGTCCGAGGGGTTAAACAACATTATAAATTTTATTATTTTTGAAGCATTTTTTAAGGAGAGGGTAAACCTATATTTTCAACTATATGAAGAAAATATTTTAAATATTTAATAAAATTATTTTTATATAGTAATTTTTTGAGAGGAAATTCAATGGTCATAAAAAAATTGGTCAGAAAATATTTTGACCCTTTTCGAATTTTTATTATTACTAAAAATTGATAGATTTTAAAATCCATACGTAATTTTATAGAAAATATATTTTTATATCCATAAAAAAATTGCTGAATGAAAAAATTAATATTTATAAAAGTTTTAACATTTAAAAAAAAATAAAATTTTTTTATTAAAAAAAATAGTTTTCAGATTACGAATTTAAAAAAATATGATTATTATTAAATTTTATTATACGAAAACTCATTCGTTTTTTTCTAACTAATTTCAGAATATAAACTTTTTCAAAAAATTATTAAAAATTTATTCGATAAATCATTTTTTTTTAAAGTTTATGTTCTGAAATTAGTTAGAAAAAAAAACAAATGAGTTTTCGTATAATAAAATTTAATAATAATCATATTTTTTTAAATTATTAACCTGAAAACTATTTTTTTTTTTTTTTGAAAGATGCTAAAACTTTTATAAATATTAATTTTTTCATTCAGCAATTTTTTTATGGATACGAAAACATATTTTCTACAAAATTACGTATGGAATTCAAAATCTATCAATTTTTAGAAAAAATAAAAATTCAAAAAGGGTCAAAATATTTTTCTGACCATTCAATTCCTCTCGAAAAATTACTATAAAAATAATTTTATTAAATATTTAAAATATTTTTTTCATATAGTTGAAAATACAGGTTTACCCTCCCCTTAAAAAAAACATTGTCTTCAGGTTGAAAATACTAAAAAAAATCATTGCTATTCAATTCTTTATATGTGACGCTCCACGAGAAAAGGGACCTTATTTACTCTTGTCATAAGGTCCCTTTTCTCGTGGAGCGTCACATATGAAAATTCACTTCTATACTTTTCTAACTAAATTCAAAACACAATTTTATTATAATTTTTTTTTTATTTTGTAGACATACTTTTTATTCAAAAAAATTATGATTTGGAATTGATTAGAAAAAAAGCAAGTGAATTTTCATGTAAAGAATTAAAATACAATGATTTTTTGAGAATTTTCAACCTGAAAGCAATGTTTAACAAAAATACTTTAAAAATTTTTAAATTTCTATAAAAATAATTTTATGGAAAATTTAAATCATTTTCTTGATGTACATACTTTTTATTTAAAAAAATTATAATTTGAAAATGGTTAGAAAAGAAACAAGTGAATTTCCATGTAAAGAATTAAATTACAATGATTTTTTTAGAATTTTCAACCTAAAAACAATGTTTTAAAAAAAATACTTAAAAAATTTTAAAATTACTATGAAAATAATTTTTGTGGAAGATTTAAATCATTTTCTTGATGTACATACTTTTTATTTAAAAAAATTATAATTTGAAAATGGTTAGAAAAGAAACAAGTGAATTTCCATGTAAAGAATTAAATTACAATGATTTTTTTAGAATTTTCAACCTAAAAACAATGTTTTAAAAAAAATACTTAAAAAATTTTAAAATTACTATGAAAATAATTTTTGTGGAAGATTTAAATCATTTTCTTGATGTACATACTTTTTATTTAAAAAAATTATAATTTGAAAATGGTTAGAAAAGAAACAAGTGAATTTCCATGTAAAGAATTAAATTACAATGATTTTTTTAGAATTTTCAACCTAAAAACAATGTTTTAAAAAAAATACTTAAAAAATTTTAAAATTACTATGAAAATAATTTTTGTGGAAGATTTAAATCATTTTCTTGATGTACATACTTTTTATTTTAAAAATTATGATTTGAAATTGGTTTGAAAATAAACAAGTGAATTTCCATGTAAAGAATTAAAATACAATGATTTTTTTAGAATTTTCAACCTGAAAGCAATGTTTTAAAAAAATACTTAAAAAATTTTAAAATTACTAAAAAAATAATTTTATGGAAGATTTAAATCATTTTCTTGATGTACGTTGTGAAAAATTTTTCCCATAGTCAGAACCTAAAAATTTGATGAAAAAATATTTTTGCCTATGCCCATATAAAATTTTGTATAGGTTTTAAAATATTTTTCTCATTGGACATGGTTTTCTAGATATTTTGCTCATAGTCAAAATAGAAAAATTTGAAGGTTTTGAACTATTTTTGCCTTTCCCCATATGGTTCTCTATATTTTGGACTTAGCTAAAAAATTTTATTTTTAATAAAAAATTAATAATAGTATTGCCATAAGGCAATACTAAATTAATTTAAACTTCGTAAACTTGGATAAAAGATTTCTATCAAAAACCACATATGTTCAGATTTTTTCGTATTATTTTCCATCAAACTTCCAATAAAAAAAAAAAATGTACAGCAAAATTTAAATCTCAGGGATCCTTCAGGAATAGCATCGAGCCTGAACCGGCTGCTGATGGGGATGATCATGTTGAGCTATAACACTGTCGACTAGAAGGGGATCGTTGCTTCGAAAATGGCCGCGGGAAAGTAAACGAGTTGCGGAGCGAGCTGGCAACTGGCAAGTTGTTTTTTAGGTTTTCGTGGCAGCGTTTTCAACGCGAAAACCACTTCAAAGTAACCAAGCCAGAGCCAATTCGAATTTTTGTGATATTATGCAGTGAAGTCAAAAAAAGTGTTCAAAAAAAAAAAAAAAAATTCAAAAAAAAAATTTCAATAGTTGCATCAAAAAATAAATTTTATTGCATCTATTTCCTCGTGGTATATTTATAAAACAGAAGAATGCCCGGCTCAAACAACAATGAAATTCACGGGGAGAGGGGCAAAGATCAAGGCTCATCGGTAAGGGGGGAACTGCATTCCAGAGTGGGCGGCATTCTGGAATGCAATCCCCCCAGTAATCGGAATTCACCCAGCAACCAAACGACCATTACAGACGGTTTGTGCCACTATGATACTAGGGCCAACAACGGCGGTATGACTTTCGTTGAAATTTGCCAGGTAATTCTCTCTAAAATTATTATTACAATAATTCCATTAATAGTAGAAATTAATTTTTTTTTCATATGGAAGTGATTTTTAATTCATCATAAATCTCAACAGTTGTCAATTGAGAGTGTTTTCAAGTTTGCGAAACTTTACTTCATTGAAAGTATAGTTGTTAATGGTCATGTATAGTAGATAGTAGATACTCCACTCATGACTCATAATCAGGTACAAATAGAAATTTTTTATTTTTGTGACATTGATTTTTAAGTTAGTTATTACTGCTATCGCCTGTGGCGCTGTTTGAAATTAAATGATGTGTAGTCAAATTTTCTTCACTATTATCAGGTCTCTGATGATCGACTTTGACATCAAGGGGAGGAAAATAATGAAATTTAATATTTTATTGTCAATTGAAAATAAAAATTTTGTCAATTGTCAATTGTGTCTTCGAGAATTTTTGACCTACTCAAGGAAAGTTTATTCAAAGAAATGCAGACTTAAATAAATCAATTAACATTTAAAAAATTATAATTTGATTCCTTTCAGAATTTGCTGAAAGAAACATTATTAAGTTTTTAAAACAAAAATTTATTTCTTGTATAGTTATCCCGATGGTCATGGTTTGCTAGATTTTGACCATGGTAAAAAATATAGAAATTTTTTGGGTTTAAAATATTTTTATCATTGGCCATGGTTCACTAGATTTTGACCAGTCAAAATACAAAAATTTACATATACTTATCCCATTGGTCATGAGGCTAGATTTTGACTACTGTGGTAAAAAATATAGAATTTTTTAGAATTTAAAATATTTTTGTCACTGGCCTAGGTTCAATAGATTTTACCCATAGTTAAAATATAAAAATTTTGAAGGTTTTGAATTATTTTTGCCTTTGTCTTATAATGAAATTTTTAGGATTTAAAAAATTTTTATTATTGACCATTGTTAGCTAGATTTTGACCTGGGTCAAAAATATAGAAATTTTTTGGGTTTAAAATATTGTTATCATTGGTCGCACGGTTCACTAGATTTTGTCCATAGTCAAAATATAAAAATTTGAAGGTTTTAAACTAGTTTTCTAGTTTAAAACAAAAAAAAAACAAATCAAAGTAGAAAACTAGTTTAAAACCTTCAAATTTTTATATTTTGACTATGGAAAAAATCTAGTGAACCATGACCAATGCCAAAAATTTTTTTAAACCTACAAAATTTATATATTTTTAACCATTGTCAAAATTGAACAAATAATGACCAACGGGATAACTATATAAACAAATAAATTTTTGTAGATTTAAAATTATTTTTTAAAAACTTAATAATGTTTCTTTATGATGTTTATGTTTTTTTTTGTTAATAATTTTTTATAGATTAACATAATATTAATATAATATTTTAAAATAATACTTTTTTTGTGTTTCTTTCTGCCTTTACCCATATATAAAATTTTGTAGGTAAAAACAGTAACAAAAATTAAAATTTTTTAAAAACGTTTAAATATGATTTATTAGTTTGTTGTAAACTAATAATTTTCATAAATGTTTCCCTTTTTAATGAAATAAATCGAAAATTTTAATAAAAATTCACATGGGCTGACCCAAAGATATTTTAAGCTTAATTTCAATAAAATATAATAAACAAATTTTTTAATTGTCAATTTTCTTTCTTGAAAGTTGATCTTTTTGTTTTTCTAGAAAATACTGTTTATAATAATTAATAATAATAATGAAATAATAACAAAATTAATTAATTAAATAATAAATAATAATAATAATTAATAATTAATAATAAATAATTCATTTAAATAATAATTAATTGTTTTTCTAGAGGTCTCAGGGCTACTTCAAAAATTTAATTTTGTTTTTCCCTCATTTTTAGGCAAAATTTTGACTTTCTTCGTGACTCTAAAAGAATAGCAATAAATTATTATAAAAATATTATGTTTTTGTAATTTCTTCGAAATCATGTTCATGATTTCAATTCAATTAATATTTTCTAAAATTTTTAACTAAAATTTAATAATTATTTTTAATAATTTTTGATAAAGTTCTTTGATAAATTTTAAAAATACATTTATTTACAACTCAATTTTTTTAAATAAGAAATTATAAATTAAATTAAAAATTCAACTAATTTCAAAAGGATTTAAATTAAAAATTTTTCAAAAAAATTTCTTTAACAGAATTCTTAATATTAAAAGTATGAAAAATTTAGAATTTCAAAGATTTTTTTTGTAACCTTTTCAAAGTTTAATTATTTCTAATAATTCCTATTATTTGTAATTTTTTCCAGAATTCGATTTTTTTTAGTTTTTAACAAAAATTCTTGTACAAGTAAATTATTTTAATAATTAATTAAATATATATTAAAAAAAACATTTAACTATAGGTAATATTTCAAAAAAGTTTTAATTTTTTTAATTTTTCAAAAAACTAAATTTTTTAAAATTTCTAATTAAATTCATTCGAAATTGAAATTTTCTCAATTTTCAAATTAATGCCTTTTGAAATTAATTTATTTATGAAAATTGCGAACGTAACTCATAAAATTCAATTATTTTTGAAACTTTTAATTAAAATTATTCATTAAATAATCTATAGGTACCAAATTTTTTGCGGAATAATTGGACTGTAACCGATTTATTTATAAATTATTAATAAATATTAGTAAATAAATAAAGAGTAATAAACATGTAATTTTTTTCAAATTTTGTATGTAAATTCAAAAAGTATATAATTTTTTTGCAAATCTATAAAAAACATATATTTTTTGTAATTATTGTATTTTTTATTATAAATAATTGTAGTTTGAGTAACAAGACTAAAATAGAAAGGAATTCGAAAAAAACTTATTGCATTTAATTCCAGAAATTCCTTTCTATTTCTAATTCCACGTATAAAATATTAGAAATAATAAGAAAATTTATATTTCTCTTAATTATCTTTGAAAGAAATAAAAATCTTTATATTAAAAATAGGAAAACAATAAGGAGTATAAAGAACAAAAATTTTCATTTTCATTTTTTTAAAGAATTTTAATCATTTTAAAAAGAACAAAAATTTTATTTTTATTTTATTATGAAAGTCTGTAAAGGTGATCAAATATCCAAGTTTAACAAAATGAAATTTTTAATATATTTTTTAAAATTAAAATTTTAAATTTAATAATTAAAGGGAATTAAAAAAACCAAATTTTCCACTAGGAGAGTTAAACTTAACTTTTTTATTTAATCAAAAGAGGGGAAATTAAATAAAAATAGATAATAACTTAATTAATTTTAGAAATCGATAACTTTTAGTCACATATTTTAAAAGAAATTGCTTATTAAAAATTTAATTTGCAATTATGAGATCAAAAAATGAAAATAAATAATTAAATCTTTTTTATCGAATCAAAATTCGTCTAATATTTTTAATCTTTATCCAACTTTGAGGAATTAAGAATTTACGAAATCTTTACTAGAATTATACAAATTGCAATTAATAGCAAAAAATAATTAATTTTTTCTTTTTCTTTTGAATGCATTGAAAATAAGTTCTAGCTATTAAATGAAATAAATAAATTGAAATCTAGATAATTTTAATTCGTTTCAGTTCAAGTCTTCTTGTTATGGAGTCGGGTATATGTTTTGTATCTTGTTGGGCCCTTAAATGGTATAATAAATTCTATTTTCCTGGGATAGTGTAGAATCTAAGATGCCCTTCTCTTCACGTGACTGTTTATGGTCGTGGAATCGCAAACACTTTTTATTACCATTATCATCGCCATCATCCTATTAATATTGCTTTCTCTCCCAGAGAAAGCTTTATTTAAACAAATATATTTTAATTTCAAATTTTATTAACATAAAATCCTCTCAAAAGCCGCTATCAGATTAAATCAATAAAGAAAAAAAATTATAATATAGAATATAAAAATAAGATAAAAATATATCACTAAAATTTAGTTTTGCTTATGAAAATGTCGAAAACTATGTAAAAAGTTTTATTGGTAACAAATTAAGATTTAAAAAATTTGTAATTCTTCGATAAAATTAAATTCTTTCAAATATAAAATTTATTTCAATGAAATTTGACAAAACTCTTAATATTATTTAAATGTTTAAAACTATTTTTAGCCCTATTTTCAGGAATTGAATTATAATTCAATATTATAATTTTATCATTCAAAAAAATTTCAAGTAATTTTTCAAAAACCTAATTTTTTAGAATTTCTACATTAAATTATTCAAAACTTCAATAATTTTTGTTAAACAAATATTTAAAAAATTATTATTAGTTTTAATTCAAATTTCAAATAATTTCAATGTAAAACGTATTGAACTTTAATTATTTCTAAAAATTATAACTACAATTTCTCCAAAAGTCAATTATTTTTTTGAATTTTTGAATAAAATTATTCAAAAATTAAATAATTTTTAAAGGAAACTAATACATTATTAATTTTTTAAAATAAACATTTCAGTATTATTATAATGTTACGGCGATTATAATGTTAAAACGATTTCTTTCAATTAAAAAAACTTTTAAAAATTAATTAATTCTTAAAATTGTTGTTATAAAACTTTTAATATTCAATTATTTTTCAAAATTTTGACTGAAATTTTTTTAAATCAATTCTTATTAGAATTCAACGATTATTAAATTATTTAAATATGCAAAAATGTTTGTAAAATTTAATTATGTATTTTCCAAATTTTTTGTTACAATTCTTAAAAAAATACAATGTTTTTAAAAATAATTTTTTAAATTTAGTAAAAAAAATTCTTTGAAATGTGAAATTTATTTTAATGAAATTTGACAAAACTTCTTATTTTTGCAATTTTTTAAAATTATTTTTCAGAAATTCAAATACTTCAAAAAATATATATTTACAATCTTTTAAAAGCCTTATTTTCCAGAATTTCTATATAAAATTTTACAAATTTCATTAATTTTTGTTTAATAAATATTTGAATACTTATTGTTATTTATATATTAATTGAAATTTCAAATAATTTAAATGTAAAACATTT